TTTTTTTATATTCCAGCTCTCCCTATAAGGTCTAAGATCACATCTCAGTCAGAGGCAGATGGTGCTGGAAATGGACACGCTGGCCCTCACTCAAGGACCAGTGTGGTTTATCTAGTACTATGGTGTGAGGCACCACCCAGCAGGAAGTTCAGTATGCTAACAGCCACCTTGGAGCATCTTAGAAACACACAGAACATAAATACCCACTGATACTTCTTGCAGCCAGTGCTTAACACAGGGCAATGTTCTTTCTGTCCACTGCCTCCCTCATCCCTTGCCATCCACAGCTACAGACATGGCAGTAGCAGCATCCTTAATTCAAAGGCAGCTTTTATAGGAGTCAATCTCTGAGTCTTCAAGCCAGCTCATGACACAGACATGTCTTCCTCTATTCACCCCACCCCATCTAGAAGCGGGAAGGGGATTAGGAGGAAGGCAACACACAGCTGTTCCTAGGAGGCAAGTCTGCCCTGGCTATTCACAGAACATTCTAGGCTAGAGAAGCAAGATGTACACAACAAATGTGGCCATAACAAAGCCCAGCCTGCCCTTTGCTGGCCAGTGTTGGCTGCCAACAGTTTAGGGAGCAAGAGCTACCAAGTTGGTTTTCGATTACACAAAGAACAGAGATGTTTGTAAACACTGTCCAGCAGTTTGTTCTTCCACCTCCTCCCAGGCAGGATCCAGGCCAGATGAAGAATACACCTTTCTTTTTTTGTGTGTTTTTTGGGGGGGTGGGAAGCTGTTTTGTTTTGTTTTCATGTGAAGTCTCTAGGACCTATCATCCAGCCTTGTAGACAGCAGGGCCATTGCCACTGGGTCCTCTACTTCCTGAACAACATGCACAATGGTACTGGCTGACAGACTTGACAGAGAGGTTGGGGTTCCAGACTTAGCCTGGACGCCAACTACATGTGATCTTAGGCACACAAGCTGCACTCATGGGGCCAGTGTGCCCCATTTCGTTATGTGTAAAACAAGACAGTCCTGCTTATCCCTGGAGCACAGAAGAGCAACAAGGAGCCACACAGCACTACTTCTGCAAACTAGGATTTAACCAGGTCTAGAAAGAATAATGCTCACAAAATTAGATAAGGACCCCACTGGACATTCTATGAAAACTGCAGGGGTAGAGGCAGCCCTTTGCTGTCTTCACAAAGGTGAATTAAAAAGCCTATGGCATCTCTCGGGAAACACCTTAAGTAAAGTCTAGTGGTGTAGAGGTAGAAAGTATGGAAACATCTCTTTATACCTCTCCTTCCTTCCCTCCCTCCCTTCCCTACAGGATCAGCAGGGCTCTAAGACTGAACCTCCACCTGGCTTTCTCTTCAAGAGTCCCCACAGGATACCCCATCCCTCCCACACTAAGCCCAGGACCTCACTCCCTCTGTAACAGGCCTCTTTGTTCCCCCACACCCCAAAACACAGGCAATCAGATGTGAGTACCTTCAAGTTCCTGGTTCCTCGTTGCAGACCCTCCCCAGCCTCTTCTCTGCTCACTGGGCACTTCCCCACCCTTTCGCCTACTTCACAAAAGCTTTTCCTTTCAAGCCCACAACTCACATCCAGCTCCCCAGTGCCAAATATGAGCAACCTCCCATGGACTCTGGGGAGCCCTTATGTCTCCTGCTGTCCCTCTGCGACACCTGAGGGCAAGCCAGTGAGTCTCCTCAACCTGTCTCTACCACCACTCTTCATTTCCTGTCAGCCTCACACATTCCCACAACTCCCCCTCCTGGCAGGCCTAATCCCTCAGAATCCTTCACCAGCCTCTATCTGTTCCACATTCCACAGCTCAGCCAGCCCAGACCAGTCCTGAACCTTCCTCTGTATGAACTGTCTTCTGGGCTCTTCCTCATCTGCCCAGACTATCCAAGGCCTCCCCATTTCAGGCCAGGCTAGCCCTCTCAGGCAGCAGACATCCATACCACACCACTCATACCAGTTCCACAATCAACTACAAGGCACACAAGGAACCTATGACTATGGTAGTGGTTAAGTGACAAAGACTCCAGTCCAACCATGTGGAAACTCACACTAAAAAAGGTGAACTTATGGCATGCAAATTACATCCTTTAAAAAAAAAAAAGGCAGAAAAAAATAGTTCCGATGGCATTCAGCCCCATCATGTCTAATACCAACACCACCACCTCCCCCAAAATCAGTTCTTCCTCTTCCTACACCTCTGCTTTTGGTAATGACACACTGCCTAGCTGCTCCTCCATCTAGAAGTCCAAAGCCCACATCAGCCAGTCTAGAAGGCCTATGCTTTGAATCCTACACCCCTCTCAGACCCCACCACCTGGGACTCAGGCCACCCTCTCTTCTCAAAGACTGTTTCCTCCCTTCTACCCCTACCACATCTATGAAAGAACAGGCCCTTGACGCTCCCCCGCCACCCCTATTTTCAGCGGCTCTCTCCAGTTCTGTACTTTGTTTAGCAGTAATACTAAAACTATTTCCAGTTGTCAAACCAAGACAACCTAAATATTCCTGTCTAATTTTGCACACAGCTCTTGTTTCAACTGACAAAGATAATGACTCAGGATCCATGGCTCTTGATGGAAAATTAACTTGCCAAGTTTTGAGTTTCCCAATAAAAGACTTCTCTAAAACCTCTCTTTGAAAAAGTGCCTGCCCTACCATGTTCTTTTCTATAGCTAACAAAGGGCATCCCAAAAACCCACTAGTTGGAGTGTCGAAAGGATTCTCACAGGATCAATTAAGAAATACAAAGTCAGTCAGGGCTTTGGATTTTTTTCTTTCTCTGTGCAAAAATCACTGCCTTTCTACAGCTTTTCTGAACAGCCATCATCACAGGACCTAATAAGTCCAATATAGAAATTCTGGGTTACATTGAAAGCAAAACATAGACACGGAAGTAAAACCTCTTTCTCTGTACAAAAAGAAATGGGTCGCTGTTTCTGATACTGATGCTTCAAGTAATTATAAATGAACTCCACAAATTCCATGTGTGCCCCTGCTGCATCATTATACATCTGTGTATATGCAGACACTATCTGCAGACAAAGGCATGATCTTCCATATCACAAGACACACAGAAATGAGGATAACCAAAGCACTCCTTGGAAAAGTCACTTATGTATAACTGAGCTACCCTTAGCCAGCACTCAAACAGCTCCCACTTGTTTGTTCCCTATTTTTAGAATTTGTGTTTTGCCTGCATATATGTAAGTGCACCACATACATGTGTATTGGTGCCTCTGCAGAGGCCAGAAGAGGACATCAGATTCCCCTGGAATTGGAATTACAGATGGTAGTTAGCCACCATAAGGGTGCTGGGATTTGAATCTGGGTCCTCTACAAGAACAGCCAGTGCTCTTAACCTGTGAGCCATCTCTCCAGCCCCCTAGTTTGCTCACTATTGATGAACCAACCCACAGTGATCCCATGTGCTTATCCCTCAAGTCTTATGCTGTTGCTAGAGACAGAAACTACCAGTGTTCCACATCCCCAACTCATCTAGTCAATACCACACATTCAGCAGGCACAAAGGCCCACACTTTCTGCTTCCAACTCCCCTTTGCCAGGCTTCACCTCTACCGCCCTGTGCACTGAGAAGGGTCTCCTTAAACCCCCTCTGCATGGCTTCCACTGTTAACACTGCCCTCTCCCTAAATGTCCCAAGTACTTGTGGGCAGGTTACAGAGAGGTCCCTGGCAGCATGGGATGGCACTGTCTGGGGAGTCTTACCTGAATAGTTCTCAAGCAAACTTGCCCTCCAGTGGGTATTTAGCAATGTCTGGAGACATTTTCAGTTGTCACATTTGGTGTGGGTATCACTATTTGTCCACTGGATACAAGCCAAAGATTCTACGCCATAGCCTACAAGGCAGAGGACAGGTCCCCACAATAAAGAACTATGGATCCAAAATGTCAATAGCCTGGAGTTGAGACACACTATCTTATGAGATGCATTAGCTCCGACAGGTGCCCAGATTGCCTGCTTCATTCTTCCTAGGAGACACCTGAGTCAAAAATTATCACAATTCTGCACTGTCTGTATCACTTGCAAGGCTGACTAGATCATCCAAAGCTGCTCCGTTTAGCCTTACTGATGCTGCTCCTGTGAGCCACTAAGCCCCCTGCAGCCTTTTCAAAAGGGTCTTTCACCCTCCACAAGGCAGTCTCCCAATAGCCCTCCTGCCAGGATGACCCACCGTCCATAGCCTAACAACTGGCATCAATGCAAGTCCAATCCTTCGGCAAGGTTGGCCTGGCTCCCCCAGTTCCAGAGACCTGTCTTGCAGACCCCAAGGCAGAAGTGAGCCTTAGCAAGTTTTCTCTCAGGCTGCAGGCCTAATCCCAGGTTGGAGGGTGTCTGCACACAGTCTCTTGCCCTTCGCGAAGCCCAAGCCAAAGGAGGGTTCCAGCACCCAGCCCGGCCCCCATAGCGTTCTCTGTCCCTACCACTCAGGAAAACTCTAGACTCGAATGAGGGACGTGGAGGCCTCTGAGCAACGAATGAGAAAGGGGGCGTTTAGCCCAAAATGCTCTCAAGGCCACCGGGGTCTGAAAAAGCAAGAGGATTAAAAGCAAAGGGAGGAAAGGACATGGAAGGGTCACCTTCCTCAACTTCACTCCAACCCCAGCTGTGAAACCCACCAGCTGGCTCGGGCCACGTGAGTCTCACTCAGCTCTGAGACAAACTGTTGACAGAGCCCCATGCACCACAGTTCGAGGGTCTGGGCGTTCAGAGAAAGCCGGGCAGCCACGCTGCGTGGACGACCCGAAGGCCCGGCAAACGGGTGACGTGCTCCAGGCTGGGGCATCTCCAGGAACCCACGGATCCACTCGCGACCCTCGCCCGCTCGCTGCGACAGGCCCCAGGGTGGGAGACGGCTGCGTGGCCCTGACCTGCCCAAGGCAGCCCCACCGCAAGGGGAACTCGCAACCTGAGGCTGCGTAGTCACTTAAGGATGTTGGAATGGGCCCCGGGGCGCTGAGGCCAGTTGCAGGCCGGCAGGCGACAGCCTTACCGGGCTGCAGGAAGCTGGGCTCCTCGGTCAGCTATGCGCCGCCGCCGCGCACACTGCACAGCAAGCACACAGCACACGCTGGGGACTCTGTTTACCTCCTCGCCCGCGTCCGCAAGCCCGGCGCCGCCCGCCCCACACCCGAGCCCTCCCATTGGCTGAGCCAAAGTCGGCAGCCCCAATGCCACCTGACGCAGGGGGCGCGTGCTCGGCCCGTGCACGCGGCTCACAGCCAATCAGGACTGAAAGTGGAACTACAGCAACCAATCAGAGGACGCCGTAGCGGGCGGCGGTCTCCTCCGGGTCTGCTTGCAATGCTTTCCCCAGATTGGGAAAGTGGCGCTCCTGGACTGGACGGTGGGCCTCTGACGGGACCGGAGGGGAGGACTCCAAGGCCTTCTCGCTCCTCCGCCGTGTGGCGAAGGCTCCTTCCGTTTGTTCAAAAAACATAGTCCGGAGGAGGAAGCGCAGTAGCGCTGACCCCGACACTCCAGCCCCTCCTGCATTTTCTTTGGTCTTACTGCGCTTGCGTCGTGTGGGTGCCCTCCCCACCCCCAAAAGAAGGCATCCCTTCTCACAAGGGCGAGGACCCCGAGTGCGCGGGGGTGCAGCCTTCCAAGTCTAGAGACCCTCACTGTGGTTCATCCCCTGCAGTGTTTACGACCCCTTCAGATTGCCGTGGGGTTCGGCTTCTGACAAGGGGGTGGGGTGTTCTGCTCCTCCAAAGGCGGGGAGGAGTTGGCAGCCCCCATGCCGGCTCAGCCCCATTGGATCAGCTGTGCCAGGACCAGTTTCCCTCCTAAAGTACGAAGACTTGTCACAATCCACTCCCACGGTTGTTGTCAGTCTTTAGATTAAGATTTTGACCTTGGGAATATGACCTGTTTTATTAAAAATACATTTCTTGATCTGCTTTTGTTTTTTGCAAAGTTTTCCTCATCCCTAGAAGTTAAGGATTCTTGGAAGCTCTTTTTCAAAGGTGAAAATGGTTTTGTGGTTAGGATTTTTAGAGTCTTTACATTGTATGGATACATTCCAAATTACTAGCAGGTAAAATAATATGATGTAGAGGACTAGCTTCAAAATATTACAAGGGCTAGGGACGTGAACGGGCTGAGACTTGTTACTTGCAGAAGCCGAATGCTGAGTAAGCTGAAGTTCCTATCTGTATGTAGGTTTCCATCTTTATATATATATATATGTAAAAAATACTTAATTATTTTTATTTTATGTGTATGAGTGTACTGCCTGCATGCATATAAGTGCACCCATGTCGTGCAATGCCCAGAAAGGACAGAAGAGGCTGTCAGATCCCCTAGAACTGGTGTTTACAGACAGTTGTTAGCTGCCATGTGGGTGCTGGGATTCGAACCCGGGTCTTCTGCAAGAACAACTAGTGTTCTTAACCGCTGAGCCATCTCTCCAGCCCTCCATCTTTTCTTTTAAAGGTAGGTGCAACTCTCCCTGCCACTGCCAAGTCGCACCCAGAGGTTTAGGTAAGTTAAGATTCAGCTTCACCTGTAACCCATCACCAGAGCCAAGGAAGGTCTCGTCGCTGGAGGTACAGTGGATGTTAAAACTCCTTTACGAAAAATACTGAAGACTGCCTTTATTCACGATGACCATGCACATGGAATTTAGGAAGCTGCCAAAGCCTTAGACAAGCATTGATCCCATATATGAGCTGACATTCAGTTGTGATGAGCCTATGTAAGTTGCTGTAGGCCCTTTGTGCTGAGCACCAAACCAGCCTAATTAAAGGTGATGACAACAAGAAATGAAAGGCCTCTCTAGAACTGATCAGGAAAGGAAACCAAATAAAGTACTTGGTTGTGGTTGTGTAGTGGTTAAGAACCATGGCAAAGAATCTCAGGCCAAAGACGTCATCAAAGAGTACTTCAAATGCAAAAAATGAACGAATTAAAACGTTGGCTCATTAACAAAAAAGATATGTGCAAAGAAAGCCTATATTGACAGTAACTCTAACGATGCCAGTAGGATTGAGTAACAAGAAATTAACAGCCATTACTGATCTTCCTTGTCATCCTCACTACAAGGTCAGAGCAAGGCTTGATCCAGCTGTAGCTGGTAAGAAGAGCCATAAAATTCAAAATTAGCAGGAAAACTTGAAGCATGGATTTCATTCCTAGGTACTTATTCTGAGTACCTATTGTATCTTAAGATGATACTTAATGATTTTAGGATCCCATCTTATCTAATGACATCTTTTACAAATTTATCTTTAAATGTCTGAAAACGTTACTTTTTGTGTATCTTCCCTAATAGGCATACTATACTAATGCATTTAATATGCATACACTGAAACAAATGTGTATATACATACACATACATATTCTACCAATATCCAGATTCCCAGGTGTCAAGAGAATTTTTCACTTTAAGGGTCCCAGTGAAAAACAAAAGCTTGATTCCACCAAACCAACCAAGCTTGTTAGGCTTAATAATGGAGCATAAGTGAGGAATCACTGACAGGAGTGTGGGTGACCCCAAAATAGCCACATTGAAAAGTCTGCACCCAGCATGGATGATGGCTTCCATGCCGCACAAATGGAGCGCCCTCCCCTAGTCCTTCCCAGCCTATGTACTCTAGCCCCTCCCAGAGGCCAGGTGCAATTAGGGTAGAATTACATACAACTGGTTGGGAGGACTGATACTCAATAGCTAAGGGTCCCACAACCCTCTCCAACCTTCCTTCTATGAGGTGACATCAACAGTCAACAAGCCCAGCTGCGATGGTGTTTCGAAACGAGGCACAGCTGAACTCATGAACTCAGACGACAGTCCTCTGAACACTAGGACATTTTGGCGAGAAGCATGATACTCCAACTTCCCTCTGGTTCCAAAGCACTTCTTTATTGACAAAGACAGAAGAGGCACTTAGTTTTTCCACTCTGCTGAATCATCCCCATCAGCATACAGGCCTCTTGAAATTTCTCTTGCTGCACCCCCGTCTGCATTCACTCCCATTTTCAACATAACTCCTAGAAGAATTATCTGTACTTCCTTTAGCCACTTCTTTTTCTCCATTCTCCTCAAAAACCAATCTAGTGAGATGTCAATAGTTTGGATCTTGAATGCTTCCTCGTAGCCCATCTACTAAAGGCCTGCACCCCAGCTTTGACTGCTACAGGGAGGTGGAGAACCTTTAGGAAGTGCGGACCTAGTGGGAGAAAGTTAGGTCATTGGAGTTGTGGCTTTAGAACGAGTATTGGGACCTGGGCCCCTTCTCTGTCTCTGCTCACCAGCCGCCATGAAGTGAGCAGTTCTGCCCCGCTACAACATCCTACCATGATGTCCTGCCTCATGAGAAGCCCCAAAGCAACAGCCCAACTGACCAGGGACGTAAACCTCCAAAACTGTGAGCCAAAATAAACCTTTCCTGCTTTTAAGTTGGTTAGCTTAAGTATTTTGCCACATTAATAGCTAACACAGGCTTTAGGCATGCAGATTGGCATCCCGATCAAAATCAGGATGTTCTCTGCCATTATCTCTTTTCTTCTTCGTGTCCCATTTTATTTCTTCTAAAGTATGTGTGTGCTTGTATATTTGATGTTACTCCATATTTCTGAAACTTTATTCATTTTCTTTCACTTTTTCCTCTTTCTGTCCATCAAAATGGACTTATTTTCAGGGGCGCTGTTTTCACCCACCAGCTCAAGTATGTTGTTCAGCTACACTCCTGAATTAGTCCTTCATTTACTGTGCTGGATAGCTTTAGTGTCAACTTGACACACCTGGGTTGAGGGAGCCTCAATTGGAGAATTGCCTCTTTTGGACTGGCCTGAGGCCATGTCTGAAGGGCAGCTTTTTGATGAGTGATGTGGGAGACCCCAGCCCACTATGGGTGGTGCCACCCCTGGGCAGGTGGGCCTGTGTTGCATAAGAAAGCAGGCTGAGCAGGGGCCAGGGGAGCCAGCCAGTAAGCAGCCATTCCTCCATGGCCTGTGCTCCAGCTCCTGTTTCCAGGTTCCTGCCCTGAGTTCCTACCTTGGGCCCCCTGATGAACTGTGACCTGGGAGATGTAAGATAAATAAACCCTTTCCTCCCCAAGTTGGTATTGGTCAGAGTGTTTTGTCACAGCAATGGAGAACAAACTAGGACACTTATTGTGCTTTTCAACTCCAAAGCATTTTATTCTTACCATGTCTTTGTGCTAAAATTCTCTATTTTGTGAAACATTCTCATACTTTTATTTTGGTGTTTTAGACATACTTCTAATTTGTTCTTTGACTATAACAGATGATTTAAAGATTTTGCTGGTAAGTCCAAAGTCTTTTTATTTCCTCTGTGTATAGCCTATTTTTTTCTTGTAGCTTTCTGTGTATTATTGTTGTTAAAAGCTATCTTGGGACTGGATCAATAGCTCAGTGGTTAAGCATGCATACTGCTCCTGCCAAGGACCTGAATTGGGTTCCCTGCACCCGCATTACCTACAACTGCCTGTACCTCGAGCTCCAGGGGACCCAATGCCCTCTTCTGGCCTCCTTGGGCACCTGCACTAATATGCACACATACCCCCAACACATACATACACATTTTTTTAAGCTAGGAATTTTAACACACTGTGGCCCCTTTGGAAATCAGATTCTCCTTTCTCCCCAGGGTCCATCGTTTCTGTTCTTTATCATTGTTACCTAGTGACTTTTATAAACTAATATGTAAAGTCTGTATTTTTTGTTGTATGTGACCACTGAAGTCTCTACTCAGCTTACTAGTCAGGTATGAAGATAGATCTTTAAGATTTTCTTAAATACATAGAAATCAGTGGTCTTTGTCAGTGGGTTCTAGGTGCTTGTTGGAGCATGCCTCCAACACGCCAAGCAGTTGACAACTCTGCCTTAGACTGACTTCCTGCTTATGCAATCTCCAGGTCACTTAGAAGTGAAATTCAAGGGCCTTCTCCAGTCTTTCCTGAGCATGTGCATGACCTATAGCAGTCTGAGGAGTATGTGGACATCCCATTACCCTTCTACTCCTTTCAGGCTTTTGGTTAGTCTTTCGTTTACCCAAACAAAGCTGCAAAGTTAAGACACATGCCTTAGTATTGTTTGGTTTAGTTGGCAAATGCTTCCAAGAAAAAGGTGTCCCATAATAGGAAACTTAAGTTAGCTCAGATAGAGCCAGCCTTTGAAAA